TCTCTCTCTCTCTCTCTCTCTCTCTCTCTCTCTCTCTCTCTCCTTAAAAAAAAAGAAAACGCATAGAGGGCTTGGGGGCTATAGCTCAGTGTCAGAGTGCTTTCCTAGCACTGGGTTCAACCCTTTGCACCACATAAAAATAAACAAAGGCATTCTGTTGATTTACAACTACAAAATAAAAGTTAAAAAGTTAAAAAGCATAGAGCCAGACATGCCTTTAATCCTGGCATCTTGGGAGGCTGAGGTAGGAGGATCTCTGGTTGAAATCCAGCCTCAGCAAAAATGAGGTGCTGATCTATTCAGTGAGACCCTATCTCTAAATAAAATACAAAATAGGGCTGGTGATGTGGCTCAGTGGCCAAGTGCCCCTGAATTCAATCCCCAGTGTCTCCCCCCCCCCAGCCACACACACACACACACAAAGCATAGAAATATGAAGGCCAAAAAGACACTCAAAAAAATGGAAATGGAAGGAAAGGAATGGAATTGGGATTGACTGCACAAGGGACCTCATTTTCAGAGTCCCTCCCCCACTTTTAATCTGAAAGAAAATGTTAATGTTAATTTGGGATTGGGGCTACATGAGGGCATGAGGGTTTGTTATTCGAGTTCTCACAAAACACTTCAAACATTTAGAAAGATACAAATGCTCCACTAGCAGTATATATATTTGCACAAAGTGGGAGAGGGATAGTAGATGTATTTCCCCTCTCCCCAATAATCCATAAACACATTGCACAGGCTATTGTCCCTCTCAGTGTCATTCTTTTGAGAACCCGGGTTTGTGGTTGGGCACAAAGCCACCCAGAATATAGAGATTGTTCCCCTTGCAGCTAGCTGTCAGTTCTGACCAGTGATCTGAGTGGACATGTCCTTAAAGGTATGGGTATGCTCTTACTCCTTTCTTTGGCCAGCTTAAGTAAAGAGGGAATGGCTGGCCCCCTTCTGGGATCATGATGTTCACCAAGGCAGAGCAGCAGAAGTATAAAAAAACCTTAGACCTGAATCCTCCAAGGGCCCCCAGGAGCCTAGACTACCTTCCTCTGTACTTAGGAGAAACAAAGCTTCCTTATTTCTGAAGCCACTGATTTTCTGAACTTCCTGTCATGGTGACTCATTCTGATTAATTCACATATGCAGTATGTGCGCAGTTACCTAAATGAGAGAGGTAATGTTACATTGTGTTATGGCCACAAATAAGGCCACACTATGAAATTTTCTTTTATACAGTTTACAGAAATATTTGAATTTAATGTAGAAGCAATGAAAACAGTTTTGAGTGATTCTCTTTTCTTCTGAACAACAAATACATTTGCCCTTGTTTATCTACTAGTGACTTTAGGATACACTCCTTATGATGGCTTTGATGGGGACAGATTCAGGGCAACATCCTGTCCAGCCATCTGATAAGCAGCATGGGACTTTACAGAAG